ATAAGACATCCTCCGAAAATAAGACCTAGCGCATGGAAAAATAAGACATCCCCTGAAAATAAGATCTAGCGCATCTTTGGGAACAAAAATTAATATAAGACACTTTTATTTTTGGGGAAACAGGATAATAGTGTATCAAAGATGACCTCATCTTAAACATTTAGCAGCATTAAGATCATTTTAAAAATCTATCTGGGCCCTAGCTGATTTGGCTCAGTGGATAGAGCACCAACCTGCAGACTAAAGAGTCCCAGGTTCATTTCCAATCAGGGCCCATGCCTGGGTTGTGGGCTCCATCCTCAGTGATTCTCTCTCATTGGTGTTCTTTCTTTCTCCCTCCCTCCCTCCCTCTCCCTCTCTCTCTCTCTCTCTCTCTCTCTCTCTTTTTCCTTCTCTCTTCTCCCTTCCCCCTCTTCTTTCCTCTCTAAAATCAATTATATATATATTAAAATTATATATATATTAAAATTATATATAAATTATATATATATTTAAAAAATCCATCTGAGAGCCTAACTTTTCCAGGCTGTTCTTCTTCACATGGATCTTGGTGTGTTCTTTTGCCTGGGGCTGAGTTATGGCATGTATGTATCAGTTAGATAGTTCTTCCTCCCTTAGAATCAGAGATTATTCTCCTGTTGGGCAGATTCTTAAACAATTGAATAACCATACTTAAAATAGAAAGTTTTTATAATAACCTTAATCTTTAGCACTTAATATGTTATTTTTAAAAATATTTTTTATTGATTTCAGAGAGGAAGGGAAAGTGAGAGTGAGAAACATCAATGATGAGAGAGTCATTGATCATCTGCCTCCTGCATGTCCCCCACTGAGGATCAAGCCCACAACTTGGGCATGTGTCCTGATCAAGAATTTGGACCGTGACTTTCTTTTCTTTCCTTTTCTTTTTAAATATATTTTATTGATTTTTTTTACAGAGAGGGATAGAGAGTTAGAAACATCGATGAGAATCATCTATCAGCTGCCTCTTGCACACCCCACACTGGGGATGTGCCCGCAACCAAGGTACATGTCCTTGACCGGAATTGAACCAGTGACCCTTCAGTCCGAAGGCCAATGCTCTATCCACTGAGCCAAACCGGTTTCGGCCAGACCGTGACTTTCTGATTCATAGGCTGATGCTCAACATATAAGCCATGCCAGTGGAGCAGGACTGGGTATTTAAATTTACTTCAAGCTTAGTGTAAGCTATGATACCTGTTAAAAAGTAAGAAAAGATACAATGTAGGTTACATTACAGGAAGTATGGCATCCAGATTAGAAAAGGTAATAGCTCTAGTCTATGCTAATCAGTTTTTATAGACTCATACAGTGATTTTGTACCAGGGACTGAACCCAATGCTAGGGTACGAAGCTGAGAGACATGGCCTATTTGTAGTAGAACTCTACAGAAATGATAATAGGCTCTATGAAAAGCTGGAAGAAGGGGATCCAGGCCCTAGACCACAGAGGCTGGGTCAACATTTAAGGAGGTGAGCACAGGCTGGAAAGATGGGGCTCCTCCAGCCATGAGACCTTGTACAAATCATTTAACCTTACACTGTCTCATTGTCTTCATGTTTAAAAGGAAGTCAGAAGAAAAAAAAAAAAAAGGAAATCAGTAGCAATGTATTTCACACGGTTGTTCTAAGCATTAATGCGGTGATGTATATATGGGAAGCCTCTAGAGTGGACGCTGGCACACAAGTAGTAACTCAGGAAATGGTGTGAAATCCCATTTTGAAGTGTTAGAGGTTGTTGTCCCATCAGAGACAGACTTCCCAGCTGAAGGAATGGGGTACACCAAAGCCAGGGGAATTAAGCTGGGCCTTTTGGGGACTGCAGAGTATTTCATGATTGGAGTGAGGGGTGCTTTGGGTGAGTCGCTAAGATAAAACTGGGAAGGGAGGCTTCTGTTTGGAGACTTGGAAGCTTTGTGCCATGTTGAGGAATCTGAGAGGCATTTAGGAAGTGTCCTGGGGGTCTTTGAAGGTCTGAAATTGAAGGGGGGTGTCCAGACCAGTTTCACCAGTTGATAGACTGGTTTGTTGTAGATGTGTGGAGGGGGAGGGGAGCTGCTTGAAGTAGGCTCTGGGTGAGAGCAGTGGTGTTCAGCCCTGGCTGCCCTGGGAACCACTTGGAGAACTTTAAAGGGTATGGTGGCCCCGTTGCCTCTATATCAGTTACATCAGCAGCCCTGGGGGTAGGACCCAGGCATTGCTTCCCAGACAATTCCACTGCACAGCCAGAGTTGTAAACTGTGGTAATTACATTCAAAACCAGATTTGATAAAGTTCCCAATTAAAGAAGTGCCACCTATTAAAGGATCCAGGGTAGAATGATAAGTCTGATATGGAGGCCAGCTGATTGAGGAAGTGGTTGATTATTTCTGGAATGGGTCTCTGGGTGGATGTTGATCCATGCTCATTTGTATACCAAGACTGAGAATGTGAAAGAGAAGCAGATTTGGGTCTGAGGCTTTATTTAGTGAGCATGAGAAAGATAATGTGATTTTAAAATGTGGATATCGAGGGAAAATGATACCCAACAAATGGGCAGAGAGGGAACCTGAAGAGGAGGAGCCTCAGGGGGAAGAGAGTACCTAATTGATGACTAAGATGCTTAAGAAGACTGGAAGTATAGAGCAGACATGAAGGAAGTAATTTATATGAGAATTTCCACTCAGAGAGACATAAGTAAAAGTATGTGAGGGTGCAGATAGGTCACAGGTTGAGGAGGAAGGGCTGTCAGTCTGATGGTCTGTTACCCTTACTGTAGGGGACATGAGTCAGGAGGTGAAAGAAGGGGATTAAGGAGTATGAACGAGCTTAGCGAGCTGAGGAAGGGGCTAATGAGGAAGAAATTGTCTTTATAGTCCTGCTCTTAAATGTTTATTTTTCCCCAGAGTTTCAGGACTGGCTCTCCTTCACATACATACTTGCTGGCTTGGGCAGGGGCTAATGCTTTGATATCATAATTTAAAATTTAAAATGTTGTAATCGCTTGAAAATCTCACAATTTCTAACATTCTTAACCTACGTAGCATCATATTTTTTTCTCTATTGTAATGAAACATCAAAAAACAGCAGGATATTTTGAAAATATGTTAACTTTTAGTATATGCCGAAACCAGTTTGGCTCAGTGGATAGAGCATTGGCCTTCAGACTGAAAGGTCCCCGGGTTCGATTCCAGTCAAGGGCATGTACCTGGTTGCAGGCACATCCCCAGTGGGGAGGGTGCAGGAGGCAGCTGATGGGTGTTTCTCATCAGTGTTTCTAAATCTCTATCCCTCTCCCTTACTCTCTGTAAAAAATCAATAAAATATTTTTTAAAAAAGAAATTCTAATATGTTGTATTTTTTTTTAATGACTAATAAAGATCCAACTGAATTTCTCAATTCTGATATAAACTACTAGAGGCCCGGTGCAGGAAATTCCTGCACTCAGTGGGGTCCCTCAGCCCATCCTGCATGCTCTCACAGTCCGGGAGCCCTCAGGGGATGTCTGACTGATGCCTTAAGCCTGCTAAGCTGTCAGTTGGACATTCTTAGTGCTGCCTTGGAGGTGGGAGAGGCCCCTGCTACCACTGCTTTGCTTGCTACCCTGTTCCCCCGAAAATAAGACAGTGTCTTATATTATTTTTTTCTCCCAAAGTTGCACTAGGTCTTATTTTCAGGAGATGTCTTATCTTTCCATGTGCTAGGTCTTATTTTTGGGGAAACATGGTAGCCATGAGCCTAGCTTCTGGCTGAGCAGTACTCCCCCTGTGGAAGCGCACTGACCTGCATTGGGTATCTGCCCCCTGGTGGTCAGTGTGCATCATAGCGACCAGTCATTCTGATGTTTGGTCAATTTGCATATTAGTCTTTTATTATATAGGACTAGAGTCCCGGTGCATGAAATTTGTGCATGGTGGGGGAGAGGAGGATTTCCCTCAGACTAGCCTGCACCCTCTCCAATCTGGGACCCTTGAGGGATGTCTGACTACCCTAATGGATATCCAACTGCTCCTGCCAGCCTGTTTGCCCCCCAACTTCTCTCCTCTGCCAATCTGGTCACCCCTAACTGCCCTTCCCTGCAGGCTTGATTGCTTCCAACTGCCCTTCTTGTGTGTTGGAGTGATGGTCAATCTGCATATTACTCTTTTATTAGATAGGACAGAGGCCTGGTGCGGGTGCATGGGTAGGTGCCAACTGGTTTGCTCTGAAGGGTGTCCCAGATCAGGGTGGGGATTCCCTTGGGGCATAGGGCAGCCTGGGCGAGGGGCCTGGGATGGTTTGCAGGCCGGCCATGCCCCCTGGTGACCCAAGTGGAGCCCCTGGTATCTGGGATATATTTATCTTCTATAATTAAAACTTTGTAGCCTGGAGTGGAGGCCTAGGCCCACCAGGGCAGGTGGAAAGCTTGGCTTTCTCCATTGCCGGGGGCAACTCTAGCCTGTTCTCTCTAACTCTGTGGCTGCCACCATTTTTGTTAGGTTTTATCTTCTATAATTGAAACTTTGTAGCCTTAAGCAGAGGCCTGGGCTGGCCAGAGTGCACAGAAAGTTTGGTATCTTCTGTCGCCAGGGAAACCCAAGCCTTCCTCCTGCTATCTCCATGGCTGCAGCCATCTTGGTTGGTTTAATTTGCATAATTGCTTCTCATTGGCTGGCGGATGGGACGTGGCTGGTGGGTGTAGTGATTGTTAATTTGCATATTGCTCTCATTAGATAAAGGATGCTTTGCATTATATATTCCCTAAATATTTTTTCCTCCATAAAACCAACTAAATATCCAGTAGTTAATTGCCAGACTGAATTGTTAATTTACAGATTTCCTATTCAGCAGAACTAATGTATTCACTACAACAAAGCAATTGTTGATATGGCTTTTCAGTAAGCCTTCTTGTTTATAATTTAAATTATGAAGTACTTAGTCAAAACTAGGATTAGGACCATGGGATTAGAAAGTGGCCTCAATATTGCAGAACATTAACCCAGTGTTTTGATATTATTTCAGGTAACATTTCATTGGTTGCTTTTCCAGTTTCCAGCACCAACTCACCAACAAAGATTTTACCAAAAACCCTAGGACCAATAAATGTGAATGTTGGACCCCAAATGGTAAGAAAACCATCAAATCTTAGAATTTGAAAATTGATTAAATATGGATGGTCACATATTCTAGTTAATTTCTCATCTCAGTAATTTTTTAAAGATTTATTTTTATCTGAATGTAACTGATTAAATCTTGAGAAAAAGAAAGGCACTCTTCAATGTTTAATTTTACACGTTTGACTCTGGGTTCTGGGTGTGTAATTAGGTTTGCTCTTTATGTGAGGCTTTTCTTTTCATTGTTTGGTTAAATTGACTTAAAATCTGTTATGTTTTATGTTCTCTTCAGATTATTTCTTATAAAATAATTTTTATCACCCTAACCTATGTACTCATATAAATTCAACATGACCCATTAGTTAATCTCTGTCTGGAGCTATTAATTTGAAATCTTTTATTAAAGGACATTTGGGGGAAAACGACATGCCAATTCATTTAAATTTTTAACAGAAATAATGGATGAAAAATATTTAACTTTCTCTGTAAGTAGTTCATTAATTGTATTAGAGCTTGAAGTAGATAGCACTTTTTAAAAAATATATATTTTTTATTGATTTTTACAGAGAGGAAGGGAGAGGGATAGAGAGTTAGAAACATTCATCAGCTGCCTCCTGCACACCCTCCACTGGGGATGTATCTGCAGCCAAGGTACATGCCCTTGACCGGAATTGAACTTGGGACCCTTCAGTCCACTAAGCCAAACCGGTTAGGATAGATAGCACTTTTAAAAAGCCTTATTTATAAACAAAGTCTCATAAAACTACTCTAAAAATTATACCAAATTTGCCCTGGCCAGTGTGGCTCAGTTGGTTTGGTGTTTTCTCAGGCACCAAAAGTTTACCAGTTTGATTCCTGATCAGGGCACAAGCCCAGATTGGGGTCTCAATTCCCAGCACGGGGACATACAGAGGACAGCCAATTGATGTTTCTCTCTTTCTCCCTCTCCCTTTCTCTAAAATCAATAAAAACATATTTTTTAAAAACTCATGCCTAATTTAAATGGCTTCACGCACCATTAACAAAAGTGCATAAACATTTGAACAATAACACTTCATTGTCAGTGCTTACCGTACATGTTCTCTATAGAGCAACAAAGATAAGATTTGCCCACAGTATACAGCCCTATGGGGTATGTTAAACACAAAATCATTTAGACAAAAATACCTTTTAACATACTTAATGGCTCCAGAAAGTCTTACAGTTTTTAAGACATTCTAGATAGACATTTTCCCTGATTGCTTGAGGGCTGTTAATTATCTACAGAATCCAAGCCAAAGACCTTACACAATTTACTATAACTATGTGAAGAATGTGATCTAGCTCCAAACTTATAGAGACTTGAGCTCAGGTAAGTGTTCCCATTTGAAGGCAGTTCAGGGGATATTTTCCAACATTTGCTCAGCATTTGCCCCTCCAGCCACTACAGTATGTACAAGTGAGATAAGACACCTGCCTTTAAAGTCTGTATTTTGAAAGGTGATAATATAAGCACCAAAATTAAACAAACATACCAGAACTCTTATGTGTTTGCCAAAAGTTAGTGGCATGTTGTTTTCCCCCTACAGTCCTCCTCTGGTTTTGAGATACTATTTTTTATTAGTATTTTAGTGTGCTGCTATGGCTCAAGTTCAGGTTTCTCTTCTGGAGACATGTAATTTCTCTTTCCATTGTTAGTTTTTATCGATGTACATGGAAGTCTTTACACACTCCAGTTCTGATGGTAAGTAATCAGGTTACTGTAATCAGGTATACATGCTTCTTACCCAGTTACTGTAGAATCAGCAAAAAAAGGTCAGAAGGAGAGGAGATCTAGGGCTCTCCTTTAAGCCACGCCAGCCCAAGGCCTTTATTTGTCTCCCTAATTCTTTTTGCAGTTCTTGGGACTTGGACGGGAATCAGAGTTTTTGTTATGATTTCCTAATTGATGTAGAACTCCAATTAGAGCCATTTCTTTCTTCTCCTCTTGCTTGCTTCTTGTGAACATTGTCCTTTCACCTTCAATATTTCATTCATGATTATTAAAAATAGTGTTTAGTTAGAAATTAGTGAATAAAACTTAATTTCTTATTACAGCAAATTTAAATTTCATGTCTTTTTGGAAGCCAAATCTTAATGGTAGATAGAAATTTCAAAAGGCCCTGAGAAAAAAGTTGTGTTCTGTATTTATAGAAACTAGCAGTAACTGTTTTATTTTGGGATACTTGCCCTTTTCCTAAAGGTTTCTGCTTATATATGTAAGATACTCTTATGATTACCTTTATTTTAATGTGATTAACACTGCATGATTCTTATATTGAAAACTAAGATTTTGTAAAATAATGGAATCCTTGTCCTGGCTGGTTTGGCTCAGTGGATAGAGTGTCAACCTGCAGACTGAAGGTTCAATTCGCAAGTACAATTCTGTTCAAGGTCACGTACTTTGTAGGCTCCATCCCCAGTCCAGGTTTCTCTCTCTCTGCCTCTCCCTCTCCCTCCACTCTCTAAAAGTCAATGGAAAAATATCCTCGGGTGAGGATTAACAACAACAAAATGGAATTCTTTTAACATTTTGTAATTATATAGCTTTTTTTCTCCTTCAAAATATATGTTCCCTTGGCCTTTCTTAACTGTAGATGGCAGTAGTACATAAGATACACATTGATTGAAGGTGGAAAATCTCTAGAATGAGATTCAATCGCTGTATGATTTCCATTGGGTAACTGTAATCTATTGTAAAAAGAAACCACAATTACATTTAAATTAAGGTTGTCTCTGGTTTTGGGGGGAGTGAAATTTAAATATTCATTTTCCTTATGAGATCAACTGAATAGTAGAAGTAGTTACCTCTTATCTTTCATTTTAATTTGGGATTTCAAAATTAAGCTTCAGTTTTATCAAGTGTGTTTGACTCATCACCTACATAGTTTTCCTATGTTTAATGGTTGATCAGTTCTGTTGACTTACCTTTGTTTTTTTGTTTTTTTAAATTTTATTTCTTTATTGATTTCAGAGAGGAAGGGAGAAGGAAAGAGAGATAGAAACATCAATGATGAGAGAGAATCATTTATCAGCTGCCTCCTGCATGCCTCCTACTGGGGATCGAGCCCACAACCCAGGCATGTGCCCTTGGCCGGAATCGAACCTGGGACCCTTCAGTCCACAGGCTCACACTCTATCCACTGAGCCAAGCCGGCTAGGGCTGGTTTTGTTTCTTAAAACTCACTGTCCTAGTTTAAGAACTCATTGCATCTCACATGAACTTCTGAAATTGAAGATGATGGACTTGTCTTTCCAGTTCAAGTCCATCATCTTCAATTTATTCATTCAGGAATTGTTTATTAAGGATTTACTGTGTGTATCAGGCCCTTTGCTAAGAGAAGGGAACAGAGTATTGCTAATTACTCTCAGATCAGAAGAAAATATCTGACAATCCAACAAAGAGGGAGAAAAAAATAAACTAGAACATAGAAGTTAATTTTCAGAGTCATTCTCATTAATGATAACCATGTTTTCCTATGCTTGTTTCTCTTCCTTCTTGTTTTTTTTTTTTTTTCCTACAAAGCCCTTTAAATCAAGTAAAACCGAGCCTATAGGTTTTATTAATAACAGATACAGAGAAAGAACTCCTTAGTAATAAAACTGCACAAGTAATGCAGTCTGTTTCAAGGGTAGATTGGAACACATAGAATTGCTTTTTGGACTCCCCTGTTCTTGAAAGGGTAGACCAAAGATTGATCAAATACTCAAATTTTCCTTCTTAAGCTGTCACACTCAGTGTCAGTTTGATAGAGGATATTTGAATGTGTGATGTAGTGATTGGTGAAAACTGTCTTTTATATTGTACTTTTCTTAATGAATTTTATATAGTCCTTTCTAGCACATCAGTAAATAAAGAAGCTGCTTTCCCCCCCATCATTTTAAAAGCTGGGTCTTTCCTCTCATTTCACTAAGTATTTATTGTACTTTCCTGTGAGCACTGTGCTAGGCCCTACAAACATTTTCTCTGTCCTTGAAGATCTTGCCCTGAATTAGAGGTGTGGAGGTGCGGTGGGGTGCACGGAGGGGTAGGAGGTCCAAACACATTGTCTAGATTTTATATTTTCACACGAGGCGAATTTCTGAATGCCCTGTTTGATCATCATTGGCTTATTGTAGAGAATCAGAATTCTCTAGACATCTTATCCTTGTTTATTGTCTTTCGTTTTTATTTATTGATTTTAAAGACTGAGGAAGGGATAAGGAGAAAGTGAGGAACATTGATGTGAGAGTGAAACATCAATCAGTTGCCTCCCACATGAACCTGGAGCAAACCTGCAACCTGAGTGTCTGCCCTGACCGGGAATCGAACCTGTGGCCTTGCAGTGTACGGGATGAAACTCCAATCAACTGAGTCACACTGACCAGGGCCCAAGGAGCTTTTTTAAAAAGACCGTGTTCTGTCCTGGCCTTTGTGACTTGCTTGAGCATTGGACCATTCACCAAAAGGCCTCTGGTCAGGGTACATGCCCAGGTTGCAGGTTCAGTCCCTAGGCATGCGGGGGCAACAATTGATATTTCTCTCTCACATCAATGTTTCTCTCTCTCCTTATCCCTTCCTCTTTCTCTAAAATCAATAAAACATGTTTTTAAAAAGCAAGAAATACCCTAGCCAGTTTGGCTCAGTGGATAAAGTGTTGGATTGCAGACCAAAGGGTCCTGGGCTTAATTCCAGTCAAGGACATGTAATTCAGTTGCAGGCTGCTCCCCTGGCCAGGGCTCATGCAGGAGGCAACCAATCCATGTACTTCTCCTGTCTTTCCCTCTCTCTTCTACTCTCTAAAAATTAATGGAAAAATATCCTTGGGTGAGAATTAGAAGAAGAAGAAGAAAAAAAAAGCAATAGGCAAAAAGTCCATATCTTTAGTTCCATTAATTTCTTTCCTGAAGTCTATCCTTAGCAAACAGAAATTAAGGCCAAAATCATTGTACAAGAATGTTTATCCCAGCATTGTTTATAGTAGTAAATAATTGAATATCCATATATCTAATAGGGAATAATAAATTTACATGATGGAATGTTTTACTGATATATTTAAAGCGTATGTTATTAAAATATTTAATGAGCCGAAGCTGCTTTGGCTCAGTGGTAGAGCGTCGGTCTGCGGACTGAAGGGTCCCAGGTTCGATTCCAGTCAAGGGCATGTACATTGGTTGTGGGCACATCCCCGGTAGGGGGTGTGTGAGAGGCAGCTGGTCGATGTTTCTCTCTCTTCGACGTTTCTAGCTGTCTCTCTCCTTTCCTCTCTGTAAAAAATCAATAAAATATATTTTTTTAAAAAATAAAATATTTAATGACATGAGAACATGCTCTTGAAAAAAAAGAAAAAAAAAGAAAGAGATTAAGTTGCACCTGTATACTAATCCAAATTGTGTAATGTTTTTGCCTATATTTTGGACTGTGAAGATCTGATTTACTGTTACCCAGTTCTAGTAAATCAAGCTTGACTGGAATTAGGTTCTGTAATTGCAAAGAAAGCCTTTCATTTTTCTGGTTTTTAAAACATTGTCAGTTGCCAGCTAATCCTTCCAAATTGTTCTTCACTTGCTGAAACCTGCATTATGACCTCATGGCAGTATAAGATCGTAGGATAAAAATGAATCAGAGGTATTGCTTATGCTTTTAGATGATGGAGCATTTTAGACAATAAAGTTTCCTCCTTGTAAGGTTAGCAGTCAACATTATTTTGTGCCTGTAGGCTTTTCATAATAACTAAGAATATTATTTTCTTTGTCCTCACTTCACAGATTATAAGCACACCTCAGAGACTGACCAGTTCAGGAAGTGTTCTGATTGGGAGTCCATACACCCCAGCACCAGCAATGGTCACTCAGACACACATAGCGGAAGCCACTGGCTGGGCCGCAGGGTAAGAGTGTTGTTACAGGTTACCGTTTTTAAAAATTAAAAAAAGTCCTGACCTTTTTTTCTTAGGATCTTGTCTTCTGTTCTTGTTTTATGTTAGTCTAGTCCTTAAAAACGAATACACTGCCTTTAAAATTACCTATTTTGCCGAAACCGGTTTGGCTCAATGGATGGAGTGTCGGCTTGGGGACTGAAGGGACCCGGGTTCGATTCTGGTCAAGGGCATGTACCTTGGTTGCGGGCATATCCCCAGTAGGGGGTGTGCAAGAGGCAGCTGATCGATGATTCTCTCTCATCGATGTTTCTAGCTCTCTATCTCTCTCCCTTTCTCTCTGTACAAAATCAATAAAATAAATATTTTTTAAAAATTACCTATTTTATTTCACTTCATATCTTAAATATAAACCATTTATGGAGCAACCATTTTAAAACAGAGAAAAACATCATAATGATAACTTGAATCTTTTTACTTTTTTTTCAACTCTGAAAGAGAACTACTTTTTATTAATGCCATTTAGCTGCTTTAAAGATGTCAAAACTATATTTTGTTAACAAACAAAAAATAGATTAAGTGTTGGTTATACTGAGAATTTCCCTTATGAGTTCTTGTTTCCTTAAAAAAAAAATCAGAAAAGGAACTAGGGAAAAATATATTAAAATTTTCATTGAGTTTTCCCTTGATTCTTTTGAAACATTGGACAATTAAATCAATATTTCTTCTATGTTATTCAGTTGCCGCTGTTAGTATCAAACCTTCACATCTTTGTAAAATACTTACCCAACCTTTCTCCTTTGCTTATCATTTTAACATTTCATCTTTCCATAAAATAAAAGGAAATAGTAAAATTAATGACTCAAAACTTTATTTTGTTACTTTAGAAATTATTTAAATTATTATTTAAATACTGCATGGGTAGTTCCATCTTTGACTTACAAATGTGAATTCTAGCAAGGAGACAATAAATCTTGATTGAGTAAGAATTCAAAAATATTAAATGAGCCTGGTAAGTATGGCTCAGTGGTTGAAGCTTCAGCCTATGAATCAGGAAGTCTCGGTTTGATTTCCGATTGGGGCACATGCCCGGGTTTGGTCTCCATCCCCAGTTGTGGGGGGCCTGCAGGAGGCAGTTGACCAATGATTCTTTCTAATCATTGATGTTTCTTTATCTCCCTCTCTCTGAAATAAGTAAAAAATATATTTTAAAAACGAATATTAAATGAATTAATGAAATAATAGCCCTGGCAAAGTGTTTTAAGCCATATACATATATATTCAAGAGAAAGAAGAGTTTCATATATAGTCATACTTTTTCATTATCAAATGAGATGACATGACAGTCACCTGTAATTCCATGGCCTTTTGAACATTCTTGTGAACGTTCTAAGGTAGATATAAAAGTTACCTTGGATTTCTGCACAGCCCTGAGAGGTTATAATATGAAAGCTTGCCTAGGCCAGTGGTTTGGAGATGACCAGGGTTTGGATATTCCCAGCTTCAGCTGTGCTTTATGTTGGAGATAGTATGACTGTCGTGTTTTTATAGTCAGTCATTCCAGAGTAAATCAAATTTCTCTGTGCCTTTTCTTTTGTGAACCTGAAATGTTTTCTCCTTAAAGATTCACTGAACGCTTTTCAAACTAGGTTATCCTATTGTGATTTCTTGGTCCTTTGATAAAATTTAAGTTTTTTTTTTTGTTTGTTTTGTTTTTGACATACCTTTTATAGTTGTTAGTTTTTGTGTTTGGCTATATATGTTGTGGAATTAGACAAGTTACAATAAATTATTCATGAAATAAAATAGTGTTTATATGTTCTTTTTATGCTTTTTTCTTTTTAGTGATAGAAAACGGACTAGAGAATTTATAGACTCTGATTTTTCAGAAAGGTGAGTATGAGTGTATTTTGCTTGGGAGATTCTATTACATAAAGTTTTGGTACCCAGACTCTAGCTTAAGTTAGTGAAATTTGTTCAATCACACAAATTTAATAACTTTATTGAGTTTCTACCATTATTCTATACCACACACTAAGTAGTCTACCTGTCTTACATAAATTTAGTATTATGTTTTTATTTTCATGGTTCCAAAAGTGAATAGATTGGCTATTGGTAATATGTCATTTAGCTCCCTCCCTCCTTTTGGGAAGTGCAGTGTTCTACCAAGGTGAACACTCCACCTGACCTCAGCATGCCCGAACGTTTTAAAAACAGATTTGATTGAGCACATTTAAAGATCATAGTAAAGACTCACTTCTTTCTCTAAATAATACATGGAGTATAATGTTACCTTTCTTTAGACTGTTAGGACAGTGGTTCTCAGTTCTTGATGTCCTCCGAATCCCCTGCGGTTTGTTGAAAAATACAGATGCCTGCCTACCAAGTGAGAAACTCCAGGATTAGAAACTCTCACTTTAGTCTACGGCCATACCACCCTGAACGCGCCTGATCTCGTCTGATCGCGGAAGCTAAGCAGGGTCGGGCCTGGTTAGTACTTGGATGGGAGAAACTCTCAATTTACGGTCATTATTTGAGCTTAAGTTCAATATTCCATGCAAGTCACTACACAAGGTAGAATATTAATGTTGCACTGTTAAAATAGGATACATAGTCTTAGAGGTAGTTGAATTCTGTAAGATTGTTAGTATTTTAAATAAAACTTGGCCAGTTACACTTTTTAAAATTTATTTTTGGTTTTAAGATTTTGTAATTTCCATTTTCAGTGGTATTTCAGTCTCCTTTGTCCTGTTATGTCATCTTTTCTCAATATAATAATTTCCTGTCTTTTCCATTTTCTAGTTTGCTATCTCCAACTTGCTAGGCAACTAGGTGGCCAGTTGTATTAGAATTCAGCCTAAATTAAAAGTGAATAGGCTCTGAGTGAGGACCTCGGGGCTATATATTCTAAAAGTGTGCTTTCTTGCATTGATACTGGCTTTGCTTTAGTTCCTAGGTGGCTTTTGTTGCTTGCTTCTTGGCTCTTAACTGTTTTGAACACAAAAATCATGTCTGAGGAACTGTTGTATCGTGTAGAAATATGTAGCAACATGTTCTTTTTTCTCTAATGGAAATTCCTCTTTCCAAACTCATACTGTCTTTGTGTTTATCCCAGGAAAGGGTAGCAGTATAAGTTCATATAGATGTATTTAGCAATGTTAGAGGCCGTAAAATAGGGCTTGTTATTAGTTATGATTGGTGGCATCTGTGTACTACAAACAGTATAAACAATAAGATTCTCTCCATATTCTCCTTCATAAGAAAAAGATCTCTGAAGATCACATTAAAAGTGCTAGATTAAATTAGTGGGTGTAACCATTGTTTCAGCTTTCCCTTTCTGCATCTGGGTTCAGTGGCATTTTGGGGGGTGAGGGTTGTGCTTTTTATTATTCTCTTTTATTTTTAAATATAACCACAAGCATTACTACATGTGGCTTTTATTGCTTTTCTTATAAATGTTTCTTTTCCTCCAAATTTATTGTATTTTTCTGTAACTCTGTGGAAAGTTTTGTTTCCCCCCCCTCCCAAGTGTTTAGGTGAAAAAAGCCATCTCTCAATCATAGACTAATTTTTATCTCTCCAATGTCTGGTATGCTGATTTAGTATATGTAAATATTCCTGTTGGTTTTCCTCAGGAATTTATACATCAATATATGTAGATATATATAAGCTCTTTTTAAAATATATATATTTTTATTGATATCAGAGAGGAAAGGAGAGGGAGAGAGAGAGATAGAAACATCAGTGATGAGAGAGAATCATAGACTGGCCGCCACCTACGTGCCTCATACTGGGGATCAAGCCTGCAACCCAGGCATGTGCCCTAACCAGGAATCGAAACGTGACCTCAGGTTTGATGCTTAACCACTGAGCCATGCCGGCCGGACCATACAAACTTCCTATTCTTACCTTATTAACAACTGTTCCTGGGATAAGGCCATTTGCAGAAGCAAGTCAGTTTCTGAAGAAATCTTGTTTAGTGGGTGAAAGATGCATTGAAATATACTCATTAGTTTTCCCCTGTATTCTCATCCACTGGAGTTCTTTGCACAGAGCTTGCAGAAGGAGCTATGAAAACCCTCTTTCTGGTCTTGCATGGGGTTTTGATCCTAGAAGGTGTTTATTCACTTTCTCTTTTTACCTTTGGACAGAATCTGATGGTGTCTCCTAAATCTCTTTTCCAAATAGGTCTGCTTTTGCTTTGGGATTTCTACTGGGGAAGGAAAGTTCTTAATATCTTTCTTTTTTCCCTGTTGAAATTCAGTTAAAATGTTCTTTATTTATAATAAATTAATATAATTTAAACTATACTATACTAATAATAAGAATAAAAATCTGTGTAGTTAAAAACAAATATCATTTTAGACTGTGATAGTTGGCACACACAAAAAATAAGGGGATTATTGGCAAGGTGGTGGCTGCCTTAGAGCAGGCTTCTCTAAGGAGATAATATTTTAATGCAAAGAAGTCAAGCATGTAGCTAGCCTGATCATGGTGGGGAGCCTGAGATTCAGGCAGAGGGAATGAATGACAACTGCAAAGCTAAATGAGGAACCAGGTTGGAGTGTTTGGGGAAGCAGAGTGGCTTGGAGATAGTGAGAAAGGCAGAGTATTATGAGACTAGGGGCCCAGTGCATGAATTCGTGCACCTTAAAAGGAACTGTGGGCCTCGAGGCTACGGTGGGCACAGGAGCAAGTCTCAGCCCACCCTGCACCTCCTACCGAGGCCCCCGTCTGCTGGCAGTCCCACTCCTACATGCTGATGGTGCCGGCCCCGGTAGCACCTGCTAACTGTGCAGAGCAAGTAGGCTGGCGCCAGCAGCAGGTACAAGCAGGCCAACACCTCCAGTGGGTGTGAGTGGCAGCTACTGCCCCGATCGCCCCTCAGGAACAGGGGGAGGTGGAGAAGCCTATAGGAGCGATCAGGGCTGCCAGGCTGCCAGGCTGCCAGCCACCACATGCACCCGCTAATAGTACCGAGCGATCAGGATTGGTGCTAGGCGCCAGCAGCAGGTGTGAGCAGGGCCAGTGCTGGCAGTGGGTGCGAACGGCAGCTGCTGTGCCTGATTGCCCATCAGGAGCACAGGGAGGTGGAGAATTTCTGAGAGACTTTTGGGGCCTGTAGCCGCCGCTCACACCCACTGATGGCGCTGAGCGATTGGGGCTGGCACTGGCACCAGTAGTGGGTGCAACTGGGACCAGCGTCAGAAGCAGATGCAAACACCAGGCAGGACTATGGTGCTTGGTACCAAAGAATTTTCAGTAACCGGGACCCCTTGCTCCTTACCGCCTGCCTGCAACAGAGGAGGGAGAGGCTCCTGCCACTGCCAGTTCACTCACCAGCCATGAGCCCAGGCTTCTGGCTGAGTGGTGCTCCCCATGTGGGAGTGCATTGACCACCAGGGGGCAGCTCTGTGCTGAGCATCTGCCCTCTGGTGGTCAGTGTGCATCATAACAATCGGTCGTTCCACCGTTTGGTTGGTTTGCATAGTACGCTTTCATTATATAGAATAGGATAGTTTACCAATGTTGATACTTAACCATAGTTCTCCTCAAGTTTATTATCAATGCATGCACTGAACTAATCTTATAAAAGTTTTATATGTATTCTTGTATTTATGTTTCAGGAGTATGTTCTTCAGCACTTAAAGTTTAGCTGTTCCTATTTAAGGACTGTGTTTCGCTTTTTCTTTAAATACTACCCATGTTTGACTACAGAGGACAAATTAGCCAAACTATCCTATGATTATTTTATTGCTCCCTTTTAAAAAATAATAGAATTGCATGAAAAATAACACCATGCTTTATCATTGGCTTTTAAAAAGTATATAAACACTGAGTCGAGAATTTCATTTACTTTAAGCCATTATCCAGTTCTTAGCATAAATTAAAAATCCCATACACAACATAGTTTTTTCAAAATAACTCCTGTGCTCCTATTTTTAGCAACTCTTACTTACTTTTGTCACCTGACTTGTACGAATGATATTAACTTATGTGTGACTAGCCATTTGTATCTCCACGCACCAAATTAAGGGCATATCAGCCTAGAGTGGGTTTTGTGTGGAAATGGACACAGCAAATGGGAATTGGATTCTTTTCCAAAATGAAATGACTTAGGACAGTGACATAAACAGAATGACCGGTTCGTGTGGAAAGTTCACTGTGATGGCCATGTCTGGAAGGACCGGGGTGCCTCTAGAACAGTCATGAGGTACTTGTTAAGAACTGGATAAGGACTTAAAGTAAATAAATAAAACCACCCCCTACTAGCCTTGAAGCACTCGCTTCAGCACTCACTCCCAGGTCTCTTTCAGCTCAGTATGAAGCATCTTTGCTGGTTTTTACATATCACTGCCTCCAAAATGGTTGTCACTAATTAACTGCTTTTCCTTTATCCAAATCAACAAGTTTTTCTGCCCATTCAGTTGCCTGTGATCATTGTGTGTGTGTGTGTGTGTGTGTGTGTGTGTGTGTGTGTTTTCACTCTTGATGGCCTCTACGTTTTAAAATTGTGCTATTCGGTGATTTCCCCAGCAACAAAAGCATTCTCTTCTTTGTTTGTTGCCGGAGAGACTCTTTGTCATGCATAGGTATCAGCTTGAAAGGATTGTTAGTTCGAAAACCAAGTTTGGTTCCACAGCTTAGATATTTTTTCTGTGAGCAACTGAGTGGAGATGGGAGATGCTCAAGAAACGAGGTTTGACTGTATTTTATGAACACTTTTTTCAATTATTAGCATTCAGTGTTTAGAATCTATTTCCTTTTATTTATTTATTTTCAGATACTCTAATTGTCAGTATATTCTTTGCCTCTCTTCAATATTAGTCATTTCCTCTTGAATATCAGTTGTGGGAATTATGCAAAATGGAGTATTGTGACCTCTTTAGTCCTTATTTTGGTTCCCTTGCACATAGCTGGTATTGAAGAGGGTGAAACTGGTTTCAACTGCTGCTCCCAAACTGGCCTGCTGTGCTTTCTAGTAAGTTCCTATTGGCTATTCGGGGATTACTGTTCTGATTCCCATTAAATGCAGCCCCGTTGAGTATTTCTTATTCTGCTCACTACCGTGTAGGTCTTTGGCTGTTGGTATTGTATTCTGAGGTTTGTTGAGGATACCTTGTCATCTAGTTTTGCTATAAATATTGTCATGAGGTTTGCATTTTGCTGTCTAGTTGCTCTGTTTTTATCTGGGGATTTGGAGAGTTTGAAAACTATGCTGCTGTCTTGCTATCTTCCTAGACTCCCCCCATAACTGGGGTGTGTGTGTTTAGTCTGTTTGAATATTAAATATTAAATTGACATGTCTTTTATAATCTTGGCATATAGTTGGCTCAGAGATTAGCAGAACTTAACCACTCAGTTTAGTAGAACTAAACTGAATCCCTGAAAATCTAATGATTAAGTTATCAAAGTTTAGGCCTAGGCATTACCCAAACTTGAAATAATTAGATAAGTATTGACCAGTTTATAAACTATGAGGGCAGGGTTTTTATCTGTTCTTCTCATGGATTTTTTTCCCAGTATGTGAACAATGCCTGGCACATAATAGTCAATAACTTCTCAGTAAATATTTGTTGAATAGATGTGTGTAAGAGAAGCACTCTAGCTTTATATTTTATTAGGCTTTTAAGGTAAAAATTTTAAAACATTTCCTCATGTCTAATTCAATTAAAGCTTACCACTTGGAACAAAAATCAAATTACTGTCTTTTCATTATTTTCTACTTTTGTAAAGGAAGTCTCTTAAGTATAATGGAGTATAATGTTTTCTTCTCTTAGTAAACGAAGCAAAAAAGGAGATAAAAATGGAAAAGGCTTGAGACATTTTTCAATGAAAGTGTGTGAGAAAGTTCAGCGGAAAGGCACAACGTCATATAATGAAGTAGCTGATGAGCTGGTATCAGAGTTCACCAATTCAAATAACCATTTGGCGGCTGATTCGGTAGGTAGATCATGCACTTGACATTGACTGTTATGAGTGATGCAACAGTGTAGCTCTTTGGGTAATCCATATCATCGATATGAGGACTCAGACAAGCTGGGGAATCCCCAATTCCTCTTTTATTATACTTGAAAGTTTCATATGGTCTGTTGGGAATTTTGGTTGGTTGTTTGTTTGTTTTGTTTATTTATTTTATTGATTTTACACAGAGAAGAATTGAGAGGGATAGAGAGCTAAAAACATCGAGCAGCTGCCTCCTGCACACCCCCCACTGGAAATGTGCCTGCAACCAAGGTACATGCCCTTGACCAGGATCCCTCAGTCCGCAGGCCGACGCTCTATCAACTAAGCCAAACGGTTTCAGCTGTTGGGAATTTTTTGTTGTTGATTTTTTGTTTTATAAAGAATTCTTTTATTATTTATTTCAACATACAGATAAACTATATCCACTGAGCCAAACCAGTTAGGGCTACTTCTCTCTTTTTTTTTTTTTTTTTTTTTTAAAAAATATATATTTTATTGATTTTTTACAGAGAGGAAGGGAAAGAGATAGAGAGCTAGAAACATCGATGAGAGAGAAACATCGACCAGCTGCCTCCTGCACACCCCCCACTAGGGATGTGCCCGCAACCAATGTACATGCCCTTGACCGGAATTGAACCTGGGACCCTTCAGTCCGCAGACCGACGCTCTATCACTGAGCCAAACCGGTTTCGACAGGGCTACTTCTCTTATTCTTCTCCAATATTCCCATCTTTGCTTACTGAGTTCTGGCCACTTTGGCCTGTGCTTATCCTCCAACCTCAGGATCTTTGCTGCTGTGTCTTCTGCCTGCTTGGTTCTTTCCCCAGATAGCCACACAACTCACTTTCTCACCTTCTCTACCTTTTTGAAAATGTCACCTTTTTTAAAATTTATATTTTTATTGATTTCAGAGAGGACAGGAGATAGAGAGATAGAAACATCTATGAGAGAGAAACATCATCGATTGGCTGCCTCCTGCATGCCCTACACTGGGGATTGAGCCCATAACCTGGGCATATGCCCTGACTGGGAATCAACCATGACCTCCTGGTTCATCAGTTAACACTCAGGCCACGTTGTTTGGGCCATTCTTGTTTTATAGAGTTAATTAAGATTTTCTTTTTTGTTGGTCTTCATTCCATCCTACTTTTCCATGCTCTATCTCAGATTCATCATTCTTCTCCCTGAAGAAGGCCCTTTAGCATTTCTTAAATTTAGATCTCTAGGTAACATAATCTTTACTTTCTTTAGATTGTTCTTTACTTTTGAAGGATAGTTTCACTGGGTACAGAATGTTTTCAGCACTTTGAAGATGTTATAATAATACTGGAGGCCTGCTACATGAATTCATGCGTGGGTGAGGTTCCTTGGCCTGGCCAGCAATTGGGGTCATCTCTCCCAGTCCTGATTTAGGCCAATGGGAAACTGGCCAGCCAGGGAGGGACTGCAGGAGGGCTCTAGGGCATGTCCTGCCCATCTCGCCCAGTCCCGATCGGCTGGACCCCAGCAGCAAGCTAACCTGCCATTCAGAGCATCAGTCCCCCAGCGGTCAGTGTGTGTCATATAGACTGGTTGAGCAGTCAACCCATCGGTCAGACACATAGCATATTAGGCTTTTATATATCTAGATTATTTATCAAATATTTTAATATCTTGTGACTGTTATCTTAACCCTTAACTTTTATCACTTAATAAATGTATTTTTAGCAGGCTTATGACCAGAAGAACATTAGGCGAAGAGTTTATGATGCTTTAAATGTGCTAATGGCAATGAACATAATATCAAAAGAAAAAAAAGAAATCAAGTGGATTGGCCTGCCTACGAATTCTGCTCAGGAGTGTCAAAACCTGGAGGTAAGAAAGGAAGATCTGATTATACAAAGTAGTTTGCTTTGTTTTACATCAGAGGCATTTTAATTTAGAAAGGTGGTTACATATTACTAAAATATTCCTAATTATTTATGTATACTGTGTCTTTTTAAAAAATAGATTCTTCTACGTAGAGTTTTAGAACTGGAAGAAACTTTAGAGATATGTAGTCTGACTGATGTTTTGATGAAATGAGGGATATAGAAATTAAATGGCTTGATTTTTCTTAGAGAAGATCTTCATTTTATTCCAATTCAGTTCTGAGCATCTAATGATAACTTTTTGGTGATTCATGTAATGGAAATATTATCTCAGTTTTGATATAATGCTTTCTTTATGGAACCCCAAAATATGGGTGAAGCTGTCCGTTTGCTTCTTATGTTTAAACTTTTACCTTTAACTCTAGAATCAGTGGCAGCAGAATGGTATTTCACTCATATCTTTATCAGAATGGATCAAATGTTTAGCAGTAACATGAATTTGGGCATGATGTGTACAAAAACATTTTTATTATGTTAACTTTAATCATTATAGGAAATCTTTCCTAACTGAACATGTGCCTTTGACATAGTTTCCAAATCTGACATATTTCTGATGTCATGGCCATATATTCCCTTTATGTGTAGCTTATGGAGATAAATGTGGTTGATTTCATGTTTTTCTCATGATTTGGTATCATTATACTTGTGGATGGAGGGAGAAACCAGACATTTATCAGAAATTATAACTTTACATGGTGCAGTGGAAATGCCCTCCTCTTCTCCTTTCGATAGAGTATAAGTTGAGCATCATTTTAATTACCGGTAATATTAAGCTTAGCACTTACCAATTCAAAAATCTATTAGCATCTGCTAGCTATGTGCTTAACCAAAGATTGTACAAGACAAAAATCTCTGACTGTAAGGAGCTTTCATTCTAATTAAGAGGAGAAATGTAAAAAGTGTTACCAAAAATGTGATTACTACTATGAAAGAAGTAGGTACAGATTTTCTGGGTGATAAGGAAGGGCTTTACAAGGAAAAAAATCCCTGAGCTCAGTCATGAGGGAGGAGTAGGTGTTTGCCAAGGGGTTTAGGGCAGGGAGGGCCTTCCAGGCAGGGGCCTGCACCGGCTGAGGCAGGCATCCGAAAGCATGCCCTCAGCGGGGTGTGGCCAGAGTGCAGGCAGGGAGTAAGTGCTAAGCTGTTGGGACCTGATCCTATAAACTAGGGGAAGCTCTTGAAGAATTATAAGGAAGAGGGCTGATGGGATGGATTCTGAAGGATCTCTCTACTAGAGGGTTGGCAGTTGGACAGACGGGGATGAGGAGGGAATGGAGGGGCAGATTGGAGGTGGCCTGTGTTAGTTACGGCAGTGGCATGAGTCTGGAGAAGTGTTCTGGAGGTAGAGTCAGTACAACTTGTGTGTGCAGGAGGGGCATTCTTCGGGTACAGGGTGCAACTCCTACATCTTTTCATATGTTGAGGGCCACACTGGTTTCACAGTCAGCCTAAAGTAACTTAGGAGTAAAGTGTGGTGGTGGTTAGAGGAATGATGAGAGGAAATTCCTGGTGCAGACTAGAGTGGATGGGGAGCAAATAAGAAATATTCTCTTGGAGTAGACAAGCAAAATGTCTCATTTGATGTTACTGACTTTTTGCCCAAAGAGACTGTTAGGAACTCGTCGCAAGGAAAATCAAACCCTAAGATCTGTTTTCCGGGTAGTCGTAAGAGTGAGGAAAATAATAGTCCTTTGAAACTGGACAAATTTATCCCATAAGCATGTTTCTTACCACAGACAGGAATTGAATTGTATATTGAATATATATAAGCTACCTGTATTATTAGCGGCTGTGCTTATTTCTTTTTAAATACATTTTTAGCCCAAACCGGTTTGGCTCAGTGGGTAGAGTGTAGCCTGTGGACTGAAGGATCCCAGGTTTGATTCTGGTCAAGGGCATGTACCTTGGTTGTGGGCACATCCCCAATAGAGGGTGTGCAGGAGGCAGCTGATCGATGTTTCTCTCATCGATGTTTCTAACTCTCTATCCTCCCTTCCTCTCTGTAAAAAATCAATAAAATATTTTTTTTAAATACATTTTTATTGATTTCAGAGAGGAAAGGAGAGCAAGATAGAAACATCAATGATGAGAATCATTGATTGGTTACATGCCCCCTACTGGGGATCAAGCCCACAACCTGGTCATGAGCCCTGGACAGGAGTCGAACCTGGGACCCTTGAGTCTGCAAGTCAATGCTCTATCCACTGAGCCAAACTGTCTCAGGCCAACTGTGCTTATTTAAGTCAGTCAAAATACAGTATAGCAATTTTCCTTCAATAATAAACTAAAATAAATAAAAGAAGAAAAGGAAGGAAGGAGAAAAAAGGAAAAGGAGAGAGACATCTGACATAATTTCCTCTTTCAGGAAAGTGATATTTACTCATGTGAAACAGGAAATGATACAAGATACAATAGGATTAAAAGTAAACTTCTACCCTGTTTCCCTGAAAATAAGACAGTATCTTATATTTTTTCTCCCAAAGTTGCGCTAGGTCTTATTTTCAGGGGATGTCTTATCTTTCCATGCGCTAGGTCTTATTTTTGGAGGATGTCTTATTTTCGGGGAGAAACGGGTATGTGACCAGGGCCAAGTATGGACCATTAGAAGGTCCTGTGCAGCATCGGAAGGAGAGTGTTAGTACTGCTGTTTTTCCTTATTGGGAAGTACTGTTACTAATGAGAATGCAAATTGTTTAAAAAAAAATTGGAGAGGACTGTGTGTATTCTTTGACCTGGCAATCAGCCATATGAGATTTTTTTTAAAGCTAGTTAATTAAAAGTAAAAATAAGAGTCAGACTGAGATCTTACCTCATTCTTGGTGGGTGAGGAGTGTGAGCATAATATAGCAAAGCAATTAACCTTAGGGTCTCTGGAACCAGGTGGCTAGGGTCCTTGCCAAACACTGAGCAGTGTGCCCTGGGGCAGTTACTTAACCCTTTGTGCCTCCGTTTTCTTACCTGCAAATGGCTAAGGACATACAGAGGGTTTGAGAAGAGGAATTAAGGTAATGTGTGGGGAGTGCTGAGCTGGGTGCCGGCACATAGAGGAAGTGTCCTGAGTGTTCGCTCTCACTGCTGGAGCTGAAGTAGTAAATAGCAATGCTATTTACTATGAAGTAGTAAATGGCACACCAGGTATTGGTTTCAATACTGATAACAGCTGCCGTGATTCTGCCGAACTGTCTGCTCGCTTGCCCCAACCCCTGCCCCCCAAAGAGGTGTGTCGTGCCTTCATTGATATTGGTTTGCATCCCCCTAAAGAACATTCTTGGTATATCAGAATTGGGACCTGAAAATGAGCGGTGCTTTATACCCTACCCATCTTCACGTTACTTTGTGACCTGTGTTTTTAAAGATAGAGAAGCAGAGGCGGATAGAACGGATAAAGCAGAAGCGGGCCCAGCTGCAAGAGCTTCTCCTGCAGGTAAAATGCTGGGATGCCTCTCGTTACCTTCCCTGCCTGTGTCTGCTTCTCTGCTTGCTTGTTTCCTACTCTGGGTGCCTTTGAGGGCCTGTCTGGGACCACAGGAGGGCAGCCTCCCACAGGGAGCCCACTGCCATCCCCTGCTCTGCCTCTCACCAGCATCAGGGCCCCACAGCCCTCACCTGCCCTGCAGGCGGCATTTTACACAACACTTTGACACTTATCTTTACTCTGAACAGAAACTATTAGGAGTGTGTGTGTGTGTGTGTGTGTGTGTGTGTGTGTGTGTGTGTGTTTTAGTCCTAATGTGGAATACCAAGAAGTTATTATTTAAAGCTAGTTAAATTTTGGGCACATTGAGTAAAATAATTAAATCCACATGTAATACTCATAATCCACCTGAATAACATGCAATACTTAATAAGCTTTGTAAAAATACCCAACCTTAAAATGCATTTATGTTTAAAAGAAAATTAAAATTTATAGTGTAATAAGGATCTATTTTTTTGGATAATTGCCTAGAATTTGGATGATTTTTAAAAATATAATAGAGCCTCTATATGAAGTTATGGGAGGTAAAAATCACAGGGTAGATGGACTTTCTACTTTTGATCATTGCATTTGGTGTAAAAATTCACCTTGAGCCATACAGTGGAGCTATATTCAATCCAGCCAAAAGCTTGTGAAATGAGTCAGGGAATCTGTATGCCTTTGCTGTTTTTCCTTGCAGCAAAGCAAGCAGGAATCTATTAGCCACAGCAAGCACACACTCAGGACTGTGAGACCAGGAAGGGCGTAGAGAAGCTAGGGGAGAGCCCAAGCTGCACTGCTTTGGCTCACTGTGAAGTCAGAGAAAAGGGGGCCTTGGGCACAGGTTTACGGGGTCAGCCTGGATGAGCTGGCGCTGCCCATGGTTCCACTGATTAAAATCTCAGGGGCTCCCTCGGAGTTCAGGAGATACGCGTGCCTAAAGGGGAAGGAGGGGGAAAGGAATGGCACGGCTTTATGTCTTCGCTTTTATCTGCAATTTTCTTTCTTTGAAAAGCTTTCAACCAATCCTAAAATCAACTTGGATTTGAACAATTGTAAGTCATTTGATTTTTGGTGAAGTTCACTTTTCAGAAGTAAAGATACCAAGGGGTTACTAGGTTTCCCCCTGAAATAGCCCTTTGTCTGAAGGATAGAATGTTAAGTACTCCTAAATAGTTTTTTGTTTTATACTTTCTAGATGCTTCTATTTGTTTTTTTCTTTCACATCCGTGCATACATCGGAGGGGGAGGGTCAGGAGAAGACCAGTAGTCCTTCCGAAGGTCTGTGCTGTTGTGAGCAGGAAGCAGGGCCGGGGCGGGGGAGTGGCAGCAGGTGGAACAGAGATTTTTCCCAACACAGGGAGCCCAGAGACTGTGTTCTGTATCCGCTTTTCATGCTGAATGCACCCCAGAGGACCTATCGCTGGAGGTTTTTCATATTGGATGTCCAAATAAGATTTTGTTTGAAGGGACGGTTGCAGCTTTTAAAAAGCTGACCCTGGGTTCCTTTTCCTGCAGCTGCTCCCTGTAGCATCCTGCCTTTTTGTAGACCTGGCGGCCGGGCTCTCACGCCTTAGCTCCTGCCCTGCACCTGCTTCCCTTGCTGCCTCTCTGGGCTCCCGTCCCCGCACAGTTAGCTGCAGGAGTTCCTTCAGCTCCGTGCTGAGCCTGCCTCAGGTTTCCTCAGGAGGGTCATGGGACATTTTGGAGCTGGATTTTTGGGATATGTTCTATTTAAAATCTGTTTCTCAATAGACTTGTCATGTGTTTATCAGAAAGAATGGTGCTAGCCAAGATCACTCTCATTTGTATTTTCTTAAGTCCTCAATTTTCTCCCCTCTATGCTCTCTCAAACCAAATACTTATAGATGATTTCAACCCGGAGCACCCTAGCTGTCAACATTTATAAAAGCAGGTCTCTCTATTGAAATGAAACCCAAAGTATAACAGGAAACAGCCACTTCTTGCTCTTTCATATCTTATTTCCTTCTAAGCGTTTTTTTCTTTCCTTCACCAAAAAAACAGGGATGAAGTTGTCTTAGAAAGAAAATTAAGTCCCTGAACAATAATAACTTGCCATGGCCTACTTAACTTAGTATTTCTTTTAACAGTGTCACAGCACACTGCCATCACATGGCACAGGTGAGTTATGCTTCCGTGTCACTGCCACTTTTGCATATCATTGGGCTAGGCCAGTGGTCGGCAAACTCAATAGTCAGCAGAGCCAAATATCAACAGTACAACGATTGAAATTTTTTTTGAGAGCCAAATTTTTTAAACTTAAACTTCTAACGCCATTTCTTCAAAATAGACTCACCCAGGCCATGGTATTTTGTGGAAGAGTCAAAGAGCCGAATGTGGCTCGCCAGCCGCAGTTTGCCGACTATGGGGCTAGACTAAGCGATATATTCAACCCTGAACTCATGGGCGTCTGTGGTGGCTGAGGGGAAAAGCTCGCTCGGTGTCATTTTCCCTGTCACTCGCTCTGAGGAGAGCTGCAGGTGCCCCTGGTTCAGATTTGTAAGGCCCCATTTCTATGGATAACAGAAACCACGGGCCCCATTACTTACATTACAATGCTGGTAGACACCATTTAAAAGTAATTTTTACCCTTGAAATATATTTGAGTTGGATTATTCTAATCTTTTTATTTTATTTTTTTTTTTACAGAGAGGAAGGGAGAGGGATAAAGGGTTAGAAACATTGATCAGTTGCCTCTTGCACACTCCCCACTGGGGATGTGGCTGCAACCAAGGTACATGCCCTTGACCGGAATCGAACCACAGACCGACACTCTATCCACTGAACCAAACCGGTTTCGGTTACTCTAAGTTTTTTCTTAAGTGTCTAATTCACTATAGGTGGAAGGTTTCTTTAAACTCTATTTTAAACTATAAGTGGATTATTTTAAACTATAAGTGGATTTTCTTATTTAATTCCAACTCACTTATCCATATTAAATAATTATATATATTTTTTTATTGATCACTATAGCAAATCGCTTTCAAAAACTTGGTACAGAGGAATCGGCAAAATGAACAGCAGAACCAGGGCCCGCCAGCTCTGAACTCCACCATCCAGCTGCCGTTTATCATCATCAACACGAGCAGGAAAACGGTCATAGACTGCAGCATCTCTAGTGACAAGTGAGTACAGAATGGGGACAGGTTGCTGGCCGGCCTTCTCTTCACACATTCCTGTCATTTGCCAACATAAGAAGGGTGTACTCCATTCTGAGTCCTCCAAGGCTGCCTCGTTGGGGCGTGTGAAGTACATGTTCCTACATGGAGTGCTGTCAGCTTCTGGCCTGTGCTCCATCACTCGCCCTCCACAGCCCCCAGTCACGTGACCAGCCCTCTGCTTCCTGTTAGCGCAGGGTGGTGTCTGGACCCAGACCAGGATGTGCACGTATGTACATGCATGTGGTCTAATTGGGCAAGAACTGCGGTGAGGTCCTAACCGGTTTGCTCAGTGGATCGAGTGTCGGCCTGCGGACTGAGGGGTCCCAGGTTCAATTCGGGTCAAGGGCATGTACCTTGGTTGCAGGCACATGCAGTAGGGAGTGTGCAGGAGGTAGCTGATGGATGTTTCTATCTCTTTCCCTTCCTCTCTGTAAAAAAAAACAAACCAAAAACTGCAGTGAGGGTCTGACAGAGGTAGGCTTGCTGGTGATTCACTGTCCTAGTTTATTGTGGAAATACTTTAGATCAACATGTGGCACAAAAGCAGTTACCTCTTTTACTCTACCACAGCCTACTAATGGATGAATAGACATGAAAATGCTAGGTGCAATCTCTGCTTTAAAAAAAAAAAAAAAATCTTATAATTGAAAGTTAATACTTTTGACCACCTCATGTATTTCGCCCCACTCCTTCCTCCCCATCTCTGGCAACCACCAATTTATTCTCTATGAGTTCAGTTTTTTAGGTTCCACATTAAGTGAGATCATTCAGTATCTGTCTTTCTCTGAATTATTTCATTTAAACATAATGCCCTCAAGGTCCATCCATGTTGTACAAATGGCAGAGTTTCCTTCTTTTTTATGACTGAATATTTTATTATATATATACATTTTCTTTGTCCATTCATCCATCAATAATACAGAATTCATGTGTAATTTATTTTACCCTTCATGAAAATAGTTAATTCATTGTTCTTCAGGCTGTGACCAGTATCGTGAGACAGTTGAGGCATGGGGTGCAGAGTGAGACAGACCCAGATGTGGAAGATGGTTCTCCTGTTTAACTGCTCCAGAGCTCTGTTTTCTGAAAAACAAATGGGGGTGATACCAGGGCCTCCCAGCCCTGTGGTGAGGATTAAATGAGATAATGCCTATAAAGGCTTGGACTCAAAGCAAGCAATTTAAAAATGTAAAATGCTTTTATAAAGGAATTGCAGGAAATCTGGGAGTCATTGCCCTAAGGGCTTTATGGCTTCTGTTCCTCCCTGGCTGGGTCTAGTAAGGGTTCCATTCCTGGGTGGTGTGTGACTCATGCTCTTCCCCTGGATGGAAGGAGACTAGAAGCTTGCAGCAGTTTGTTCAGGTAGGTCCTACCGCCTTTCTTTCACTCTGGTGGTGCAATCTTTTCCCCTTACTTAGCCAGGCAGCTCATTAAATTGACCAAACTAGCCCTGGCTGGTGGTGGGGGAGCAATGGCCTGCGCACTGAAGGGTCTCAGGTTCAATTCCGGGTCCAGGGCACATACCTGGGTTGTGGGTTCCTGTGCCCCTACACCTCCCGTTAGGGCTCATTCAAGAGGCAACCAATCCATGTGTCTCTTACATTGATGTTTTTCTCTCTTCCCCTTCCTCTGTCTCATGAAAAGCAATTACTCTGGTAAGGATTTAAAAAAAGGAAAGTATTGTATTTATGCCCTAGCCAGTTCGGCTCAGTGGATAGAGTGTCGGCCTGCAGACTGAAGGGTCCCAGGTTCCATTCTGGCCAAGGGTTGCAGGCTCAACCTCCAGTAGGGAGCATGCAGGAGGAAGCCTATCAATGATTCTCTCTCATCATTGATGTTTCTATCCTTCTCCCTTCCTCTCTAAAATCAATAAAAATATATTTTTTTAAAACCACAGTATTGGATTTAGACCAGAATTTCTGCTTTCAATTTGCAATAGCTTTAATGAGGGCTAAAGTTTATGGACCTCTTTTGTCTGTTGCATGGAAGCTATTTTAATTGGGAAAGTGATGTATTTGAGATGTCATCTTCTGAATACAGCAGAATGACCCTTCTTGCTGTAAACATCGATAATTTCTAGTACTATGGCTGAACTTTCCCTCTTTAAAAATATATATATAGCCTAAACCGGTTTGACTCAATGGATAGAGCGTCAGCTTGGGGACTGAAGGGACCCAGATTCAATTCCAGTCAAGGGCATGTACCTTGGTTGCGGGCATATCCCCAGTAGGGGGTGTGCAAGAGGCAGCCCATCGATGTTTCTAGCTCTCTCTCTCTCCCTTCCTCTCTGTACAAAATCAATAAAAAATATATTTAAAAAATAAAAATAAAAGTATTTATTGATTTTTTTACAGAGAGGAAGGGAGAGTTAGAAACATTGATGAGAGAAAAACATCAATCAGCTGCCTCCTGCATACTCCCTACTGGAGTACATGCCCTTGACTGGAATCGAAACTGGGGCCCACAGAGTATAAAACTCTTCAGACCCCCCCAACACCATGGAAGCCCCTTACCAGCTTTGTTTCCTGTGCAGGTTTGAATATCTTTTCAATTTTGACAATACCTTTGAGATCCACGATGACATTGAAGTACTGAAGCGGATGGGAATGTCCTTTGGTCTGGAGTCAGGCAAATGTTCTCTGGAGGATCTGAAACGTGCTAAGTCACTGGTGCCAAAGGCGTTAGAAGGTTATATCACAGGTATGTTAACGGATGCTTTCACATGTTGTCTCTGATTAAGTATGTCAAACCCCAACATGTTAAAACCTTTCTTTTCTCATAGAAAATTAGTTCAAGTACATTGTATGCTCTCCCTTGATTTTGAACCTTTCCTACTTGGACATTTTGAGGAACTGCCATACTATTTTCCAAAGCAGTTGTACCAGCCTTGAAGGAGTTTGTTTTCCACCCCCTTCTACACCTTGTTGTCCCTTTTTTATTATAGCCGTCCTAATAGATATGGCATCTCACTGTGGATTTGCATTTCCCCAGTGACTAATGATGCGAACATCTTTTCACGTGCTTATTGGCCATTCGTAAATCTTCCTTGGAGAATATCTATTCAGATTCTTTGCGTGTTTTTTTAAATTGGGTTCTTTGTCATTTTTATTACGAATTAGAAAAGTACACTTGAATATACTAACAACCACTGTTTTGCATGTCATATAATTCAGATTTGTTTCACTAATTCCGACATCTCTTCCTAAGATTCTGCACTGAGAATGGATGTAGCAAACAGTGCTTCTGCTTTGGGCCGTTCCTTCATTATAAGTCTTAACCTCCTAGATTGCACGTCAGTTTTTAAAGGCATTTTAATAAGTTCTAAGGTATATTAAATCAGATATAAGCAAAGTAATAGAATGAGACTTTTTTCTGTTGGGTTTAGTTCTTAAATTGGCATCGCCCTCTCCTGCAAATGGGACCCCATCTTATTGCCCCTCAGCCGGTATCTCCCATTCCTGCCCGTCCCCCGCTCCTTTATTGGCAGCCCCGCAGCGGCTAAGGAAGGCTTTTCAGTAACTCACCACGTCACTCAGTCCATTCTCATTGTAAAAGCTCGGCGGGCGATTCGGCAGGCTCTCTGGCTTTTCTCTCTCCGTGACCTCATTGGCAGCCTGGGGCACAGACTTTCTGGTTAATTCAAAGGAACAAATGTGTGCCTTGGTGCAAAGGACAGAGGGCTCGTGAGCATGATGGTGAGAACCACTGGGTGGTGTCCAGGGTAATGTGAGTGAAACACAGACTTTCCAAACTGTTGCACCGAGAAAGTGTAATGTGTTATGCAACCACTGAGCTCTGACAAAGTTTCCTCGTTGGCTAATCGCCAGTTACTGTTTGGATCAGGATTCTGGCTTTAATGTTGCTGTGTACAGACTTGTTATTTAATGTATTAAGTCTGCTGTTCTAGAGCTGACGGACTTTTCCCACAGCTGCCTTGTCAGCCTGTGAGAAACCTCCTAAAATCCGTGTAGAGGCTTCATTTACTTTTCCTCCGGAGATGCCTCTCGCTTGCCTGACAGTGTCCAATCGTCACACATATAATTCCTGTGTTTTGCGCAGGAATTATAAAATTGTTTTTTTTTGTTTTTGTTTTTGTTTTTAAATATATTTTATTGATTTTTGTACAGAGTGGAAGGGAGAGAGATAGAGAGTTCGAAACATCAATGAGAGAGAGTCATTGATCAGTTGCCTCTTGCACACCCCCTACCGGGGATATGCCCGCAACCAAGGTACATGCCCTTGACCGGAATCGAACCTGGGGCCCTTCAGTCCCCAAGCCGACGCTCTATCCATTGAGCCAAACCGGTCCCGGCTATAAAATTGTTTTGATTAAACATAATAAGCGCTCGTTTTGGTAAATTACATTTTTCTGAGTGTACATTTGATCTTGTAATTCTAAGAATTTATTTTTAATAAGTACATCACCTTCTTTGTAAACTCACTATTGAAGAGACTGTACTTATTCATTAACATTTAGATCTTATATGTCCTGTCACAGCCTTCTCTGAGCTGACACTCTAGATAAGGAGGTAACATTGAACTCGTGGAATTACAGTGAAAACTGATCAAGGTTAGGATAGATAGAAGGAATACAATGTGTGTATAGAAAACAGCGTGAAAGGACAGACTTAACATCTGTGCAGAATGAAAAAGCGGTGCCTGTCTCACCCTCACTGAAAGCATGACTGCTCGTGGCCTTTTAAAGAAGAGCTGGTTTGAGTTATAAGCAAACGGGACCAGGAGAAAGAATAGGTCTTGGATGATAGTACCGTGTTTCCCCCTAAAATAAGACCTAGCGCATGGAAAGATAAGACATCCCCTGAAAATAAGACCTAGCGCAACTTTGGGAGAAAAAATTAATATAAGACACTGTCTTATTTCCGGGGAAACGGTAGCACCGAGTTCACCAGGGGAGCACTTGAACAGAGAGATTCAGTGAGGGTTTTGGCAAAATGTGTCTGTCCTTCCTACCTCCGATGTTTCCGACTTGCCTTTCTCTGCCTGCTGCTGGCTGTGGCTGTTACCACCACCGTCAGGGTTCCGAGTCTTCCACCGCGGGGACACAGTGGCCACGGTAGTCCAGTGGCTGCTGCCTCTTGGTCTTAAGAGAACGAGAGCCCAGTTGGTTTAGTTTGAATTCTGTCTCACTACAGTCAGCCTTCCTGTCGTGTCCCCGCGCCCCCTATGATTTAGAAATGTCTTTTCTCAGCTGCAGAAGCCTGGCTTCTCCCGGGCAGGAGGCTGGTGTGGCTGAGAACAGGCTGATGCCCTCACTCGCCGCTTCCTTCCCACGGGAGCAGCAGCCGCAGGCCTGCGGGACCCACCTCCTGTGTTTTCCCTCTTAGATATCTCCACGGGACCCTCCTGGTTAAATCAGGGACTGCTTTTGAACTCTACCCAGTCAGCTTCCAGTTTAGACCTGACCACTGGTGCCACCTTGTCCCAGTCCAGGTACGTATGACTGAGGGTTCGAGAGGCCAGCCACGGAGCCCGGCCCCTCCGGGGGAGGCAGCCGGTCCCTGCCCGGCTCAGCAGAGCTCGGGGCTGCACCTCCCCGCTCCAGTCCCGCGTGCGAAGGAGCGGAAAGCGTTCGCCACGTTAACGAGCTGTGTGTTTGGATTGTTTGCTAGCGTGAACCAGGGCTTCTGCTTGGATGCTGAAGTGGCCTTAGCAACGGGGCAGCTCCTCGCCCCGAACAGTCACCAGTCCAGCAGTGCGGCCTCCCACGGCTCCGAGTCCCGCGGGGAGACGCCCTGCTCGCTCAACGAGGACGACGAGGAGGACGAGGAGGAGGACTCCTCCTCCCCAGAATAAAGACAGGGCGACCCACACTCTCCTGCCGATGCTCATGTGTGTTCTTGGTGTGAGCTCTTGTTTTGAAATGATTGCTTCAGCCCTTGCTTCTGTTCGCACTGTGTGTCCGGTGGGAACTAGGGAAACCACCCGCGGATCACACGCAGGCTGACACGCGTGAGATGAGCGTTGCCGTGTGCGGGTGAGAACGACAGTAGGGTAGTAGGTCACCCCTCAGCGCGAGCTTTCTGAGGGGACAGCGGGGACAGTCCTGGGAGAGGCGGGCCGCATGAACAAAGCTCATTTCCCTTCCGCAGGTGGGATCTGTTCCCCACACCCACGTACCCCCACACCACGTACCCCCAGGATTGCTCAGTGGCCAGGTCTCGTGCATCTCCCCATGGGAGGCCCGGACAGGGGAGCGGTGCAGGGGGCGGGCCGGGGCCCGGCCGCACTGCTGAGCTAGCTGAAAGCCTAGTTGAGGTGCTTCACGCACCAGCTGCCTTAGACAGCTTCTAGAAAGGAGCGCGCTCACTCTTACGTACTTCAGTGACATTTAGAGTAATTTATAGCGAAGTGGGAATGGTCACTATTAGCCAATGCGTTTGGTGCCTAGAACCTTTAGGGCTCTTCTGGGAGCCACGGGAGAATAGCCTTTCCCCGCGCACCGCACTCCGCCAGCACTGCCTTCGCCAGCACTCTCATCCATCGCCGCTTCACAGGGAAGAGTGTCCTTGTAATCAGTGACCACGCCTTCCCCCCAGCGCTTTCATTTGAAACTAAGGAGCACCGCCCTCCGGCCAGCGGGCTTGCTTACCGTTCCCTTCCCGAGTTCCCCCTGTGTGCGTCTGTGGAAATGAACCAAGTGTCATTTCCCGAACACGAAGGCACCGTTTTCCTGTCCACGTCACCTTTTCTACATTTTCATTAATCAGGACGGCCTCCGGAGTCATTCCCGGGTAAACCGCTTTCACACTCACCGGACGACGCCTTCTGAGAAGTGGCGGCGCTGAGTGGCTGGGTTCTGGCTGGGCGGTAGCTGCGTGTTTCGTAGCCAAAGATGGCGCAGGACCGCTGTGCTGGCGCGTCCAGTCCTGCTCCTCCGAACAGGAGCACGAGACCCCAGCCAGGCCTGGAAAAGGGCAAATAAGAGAAAATTCACTCCACGGCTTTGCCTGGCCGTTCGGATTTGCCCCCGGATTATGCATCGAGCGCCTCTGGGCTCCGCCCAGGTCAGTCCCTTTCTAACTCCCGAGGGGCGGGATGAGTGCAGGTGCCTCGTGCTGCCTCCCACAGCGCTGCCCTGTGCTCACGGTGAGCGGGCGGAGCCATGGCTGGCCTGGAGCTGTTAGGCCACAGAAGCGCACACACAAAAACATACAACTCGAACTTAAGTTTCTCTCAGACAAATCTCATTCTGTCAGAAATAAGCTGGAGTGCATACGCAGAGTGCAGAGAGAGAGGCAGTGTTTAGAGAATTCAGCCTCAGCCCGAGTTCCAGGCACGTCTCAGCTGGGCAGAGTGGGGAGGTGCCCGGAGCAGCCAGGTCCCCACAGCCTCCAGGAAGCACTGACCAGGAGGTCGGCAGCTGCAGGCAACACCAGGCTCCCTCCCCGTGGTTCCTAAAGGGGACACCGCCACCTCCAGCAGCCCCTCCCTTTCTCCTCTCTGTATGGGAGGGCCCCGCTGGGACCTGGAGAGACCCAGGGCCACAGCTAGCTTTTCAGTCCTCTGTGTTGTGCTGCAGGTCCCAAGATCTGTACGTCTGCATTCATGGCAGCCCATCAGTCGTAGTCTGGTCTCTACCAAATAGCAAAGTCCTCTCTCTCCTGCTGCTACAGTGCTTTAAATGGATAAAATGTGGGTTTAAAAGAAAAAGCACCCAAAGCCTCGCTACGATTGGTGCCCCATCCGTGGCCGTCCAGCCGTAGGTGGCGTTCGGCCGGAAATGGTCCCGGTCCCGGGTACGGGGGTCACTGCTGAGGGCATCTAACACAGCCCTCCTGAGGGCATCAGTAGAGGCTGGTGCAGAGCCTTCCCTGGCAGAAGCTGGGCTGAGATAAATCCTGTTACACTCCATAAACCCCTAACACCTTATCCTGGTCTAGAACTCCACGCTTAGGCACAATTTCTAATAGAAATCAAAGTGGAAAAAGCCGTTAGAAATAGTGATTGGAACATCAGGCGCCTTTCTGGGAGCTGCACCCGGGTTGTGTATGCACATGCATGTGCACACGTGGACAGCTCTGCCAGGGGGGAGTTTAAGAGGCCTTTCCCTCGGGGGTCCGTTTACTGTTACCCTTTCAAGCGTGTAGGATCAGTCTGCTCATTCTTGCTCCAGGGTCACTGTGGGCTCCTGGCTGGCCTGGGACCTTAGGTCGTGGGAAGGGCAGGGCATAAGGCCCCTGGTGCCTGCCAAGGCTCCCCTCCCCTCCCCGACTGTGCATCCAATCACCTTCAGGAAGACGGACGCAAACTGTGCCTTAGGATCGTGGAGGCCTCAGAGAGCTAACGGTGACCTCCCACCTCAACAAGCCCACCAGTGGCCCCTGGAAAACTTGACATAATGACCATGTGTTTCGTTTCCTTCAACTTAACTGTGGAAGGGGTGGGGTGAAACGGTGGTTTCCTCCATTTAACAGGATAAAAGGGGGTAACTCCCCTCAGCCAACTGTCCTCTGCTGAACTGGAAATGATGCCAACTCAGCCCTCCACCTCCAGCTAGCCCATCCGATCCGTCAGGGAGGCACTCAGAGAAGGGCTCAGGTTAGCCGGGCAGACCACCACAGCTCTGCTAACCCACAGGTCTCGGCCACTGGGGTCCTGAGGCAACCAAGCTGCTTCAAGCACAGTTGGGACAGGCGCCTGGGGCAGGCAGAACACAGCAGGCACCGGGCAAGGCCAGCAAAGGAAGGAACGGCCTAAGCTGCCTGCCATAGCCACACTCAGCACCCTGCTGAGCGTTACCAGTAATTCCCCTCAAGGGCCTTTCCTACCTGTTCACTCCCCTCAGGCATAGGAAAGAGGTGTCCCAGCCCCAGCATTCTGAGAGGTGGACATTGAGACTGCTGCTGAGCAGAGACTGTAAAGATTTAACCCTTCAGTAAGCATTTGAGCTCACTGAACAGAAAGCATTCAGGCCGGCTAGTGCTGTGGAAAAGGGCAGTGGGACATGGGGGAAGGCTGCTTTAGTGGGGGTGGCCGGGGAAGGCCCCGGGAAAGTGACATTGGTCCTGAGTCAGACCGCTGAGACAGGCTTCTCCATGCCTTCGTCCCACGACACACCTCCCATAACATGCACGTGGCGTCTACTGAATCCCAGCGGCCACGCCGCTCCAGTTCTAAGCATACATTTTGTCGTTTTACTGATTTTAGAGGCAGGAGAGGGAGAGAGCAAGAGAAAACACTCATGAGACACAAGCATGACATTGATGGGCTGCCTCCTGCGTGCCCCCTACTGGGGGTCAAGCCCACAACCTGGGCATGTGCTCTGACAGGGAATCAAACCAGTGACCTTCGTTCACGGGCCTATGCTCCCCACTAAACCACATCAGCAGGCATACGCATCCACCCTGGAGTCTGTTAAATAATTGCTAGTATATAAAAGAAAACTCAAACTTACCTGCCAGCAGGACCCATAAACCAAGAGAAGATCCTGACCCAGGAAGTTCTCATTAGCTTTCACCGTCCAGTTGAAAGGTGGAGAAGTAACTGCTTTTCTGGGTGTTTCTTCTAGTTTTACAAATTGTTGGGTACATACAGGCTTTTTGGATTGGACATATAAAAGGTCATCTTTTTTCTGCATATACACTGGCACTGGTGGAGCCAAAGACTATGTAAGAACCACTTTCCCAAACAGGCTCCTCACCTGCATGTACCCACAGCGCCGATGACCGTATCGAAGGCCCACAGCGCGGCCAGGGGCCTGCGCCAGGCGGGTGAGGGACCCTCAGAAACGTGCCTGTTCCTTTAAATTCCACTCTCACCAAACACTCAAACGGAAAACAAGTCTGATATCTGCTTAAAAATTTACCTTTAAAAAGTTGAGCTCAATATTCACACAAATTGTAATGTTTCTCAGGAAATAGCCCCTTTCCACAGCCTAGACAGCTCTAGAAAGGGAGCTTAGATCACCTTTGGGATCCAGCTTCCCACAGACCTCGACACGCACACAGGGCTAAGGAAGGAAAGTGGGGGCCACTGACAACATGTCCGTCCAGGCACGTGGTGCCGAGACAGGAGGAGGGAGGCACAGTTGGTGTGTTCTGTGCTGCGCGCTCTCAGGCGAGGTGACTTGTCTCGTCCTTCCACGGCCTTTGCTCTGCGAAAGGCCCACATAACCAACCCCTTGCTGCTCCAGCAGGACGGACCGGGGCCGCCCCGCTCACAGCGGCTTTGGGAGTTGATGTAGCTGAGACACAGGGCAGGACACCCCTTCACCAAGGGCCTCCGAACAGGAGAGAACATCTCTCCGCCCCACTCAGTAAGGCATCGCTTGTCTACCACCCCTCAGGCCGTGTGCCGAGTCTATGCCAACCAGAATTCCTCCCCCCGAGAGGACCACATGGCCTGGAAACCTCGCCCTCCCCACGGTCCTCCCAGGGGGCCCTGGGGTTAGCATCAGCCCTGCCACACCACGCACTACACAGCCAGGAGGGGGAGTGGGACTTTGTCCGGGAGGCTGTGAAGACCCAGATCTGGACACGTCTGGGAAGGAATGCCTCCATGGGCAAAGACTGGCGCGCACACAGCCCCACTGGGAAGGGTCTGGAGGTGGTTACCCACCACCCTTCTCCGGCACATTAGCTTGTTTCTGTTTATCCCAACACTACAAGGAAGCACTTCCCCAGATGGTGCTTGGGTGTCACCACCAATTCTTTTGTCCCCGTGTGTCATCTTCATGTGTCAGGCATCGTCTGATGACAAATGGCCTGGTTTTCTTGTTCATGACCAAAGTCAGATTTTTTTTTTTCTTACTAAAGGTCTCCGAGGACTCAGATACTTTTCTGCTAAAAAAAACA